TCCACCTTCTTGATCACATAATCTTCAAACACATTATTGTTTGGAGTCATATGCCAAGTACATCCATAATCCACTCTTTGTAAGAGTTGTTGCTCGACACCACAAGGACATCAGATGATTCATAATCATCTTGCACAATAGTTGCATTCCCATTGTTCTTACCTCCATGATTATTTAGGCGCTCAAGGCACACCTTTCTTGTGTGACCCTCCTTCTTGCAGTGATAACACTTAATCCCAGAAGTATCACCATCATATGAATTCTGATGAGTTTTACCTTTCTTCTTATCAAACCTACCATCTCTCTTCGACGATTTCCCCTTTAAGAACAACCCTTGGCCAACTGATGATGATGGTTTTTGCTCCTTTCTTTCGTTCAAATCCTTTGAACACAAGGCTGCTTGAACTTCTTCAAAGGTCAGAGACTCTCTTCCATACAAGAGGGTTTCTTTTAAGTGAGCATGTGACTTAGGTAAAGAACACAACAATAACAATGTTTGATCTTCATCATTGATGGTAAAATCAATATTTTCAAGATCAAGAATCAACTTGTTGAACGTATCCAACTGCTCCGTTAACGCTTTATCTTCAGTCTTCTTAAATGAATATAAAGTTTGCTTCAAGTACAAACAATTCACCAAGGATTTTATCATATACAATTCTTCGAGTTTCAGCCAAACACTAGCCGCCGTCTTCTCCTTCAAAACCTACTTGAGAACTTTATCACTAAGACTCAGAACAATTGCACTGTGGGCTTTCTCGATCATCATTGTTTTTTCCTTCTCCATCAGTGCATCATCTGTGGCATCTCCTCTCTTTAACTCTTCTAGAAAAACCTATTGAACAAGAAGGACTCGCATCTTTAAACACCATAACCCAAAATCATTAACTCCGGTGAACTTCTCAACTTCAAACTTTGTTGACGACATCGTCTCCATGCTCACTGCATCAGTTTATTGTGATCACAAACGATACCTTTAAGCAAATCAAGATTGAGAAACAGATTTTTTGGGTGAACAATGAAAAAGGTTAGAACAAAGAAAGAAAGAAAGAAGAAAGGACAAAGAAGAAAGAAGAAGATGGATTAGGGAAAATTGTTTACTACTCACTTTATCATAAGAGTTTACAAATGATTAGAAACGAATATCACAATTGGCCTCACTCAACAACCTGAGTGATCTAGCCTATATATAGACTAACTAGAAAACTTGAAACCCAAGCTAACTAAACAATTGAATCCATAACAAAAGGCCCAATTCGACAAACATTTCGATAATACATATTAGAACAGACTTCGACTACAATATGTATCCTTCGATCACAGCATGCGACCCATCTTTGACTTCATGCTTATCTCCTATCGAAATATATGAAAGCTATTTCTCGACAAAGCTTAAGTTCGACCGAAAAACCTCATAGTCTCAAATTGAGAAACTTATAAAAAGAGGACATGGTAAGGACTGCTACAAGGTATGGTAATGCCGCAAAGCATGTGATCGAAATGATTCTCAATACTTTAACTATTTTGAGAGTAGGTCAATATTTTTATGGGACTGATGTAGAAACCTATGATTTTTATTATTCATGAGAGATGAATCATAATTAATCTTTTTGGTTTTAATTGAATTGTAGTGATTGAAACTTTACACGTGAATGGTCAGTAATTTAATTAATTTGTATTAAGTTATATTATTTGTTTGGTTTATGTATCAATGGTGTTATGAACTCTTAATCTTCATTTTAAAAGTGATGTTAGAAAGAAAGGAAAAAAAATTTAATTTTAATTAAAGACAATTATGAATGTATTATGCACAATATGAGAATATAACTATAGTGTTCAACAAAATAAATTATTGTTTTTTCTTAATGATAAAATAATATATAATAAAGAAAATAATATATTATATCCGAAATACAAACATGAGAAAATAAATTCAAGCTGGAACAAGATGTACCAAAAAACGCATACAAGCTAAAACAAATGAAAAGCAATCAACCAAAACTACAAAAAGAACTCCCCATCAATAAGCTTAAACCACAAACGCAGCCACATCCAATTAAGAAACACAGTTAGTTCTCTAGCAATCAAACCTACCAAGAACAGACCACAAGAGTCACAACTACACTAAGAATCACTGAACTAAACAAAAGAAGGCCAAACCACCAGCTCTGCTATTGGCCAAGATACATGATAGGATTCTGAAACCAAATAAAGATAGAGTAAGAGCTCATAGTGGACCGACTACAAAGCCAACTCCAAGAAAAAAATACTCTTATCCTCCAACTCTTTTACATTCTGTAAAGAACCAGAGAACAACTTATCATTGCACACTAATCATATACACCACACAACTGCATGCTAAATTATGGTAAACATTCTCCTAGACATAGCCTTGGCCTATAAAGAGATGGACATCTCAAAAATGATGTTGAGAAAAACATAAGAAGGATGATTGAATTGGGTTAGCTTTTTCAAAAAAAAATTCTACTACAGCTTTTGATTAGTCATAATCAGAGTCTGAACCTGCTATATTCAGAGTCTGACTTCACAATCACTCAGAGTCTGAACTCTTAAAAGTCTTTATCAGATTCGACACTAGAATATAATTTATAAATTAACAATAGATAGCAGGGGGATAATGTTTAGAAGCAAGTAAAGTAAAAGCACACGACACAACAATTATCCTAGTTCCTCTCACAGCCTGAGAGTAGTCCAACCTTTTTCTCTTCAAGGGATTTTCAATATAACCAAATCTGATTACAAATGCTCAAGCTCACCAGCATGATACTTCCTTTGCTTATACATACAAGTATAAGACTTTCTTGTTCAGACCCACAAGTTTGAGACTTAATACTTCTGACTCTAAACAAACTGTTAAGAGAATTGGTTAACAAACTACATTTGATATGTAATAATAGGTGAAGACAAAATATAACTTAGAAAGACTCTAAAACTTAAGAACTTCTAAAAACTACAAGTGCTAAGATGTTCTAAGTCTAATATATTTGACAGAGTAGCTTCTCTTTGAATTTTAATGTTCACAGTCTTAAGATGTATTGCAACAGTGATCTTCATCTGCAGATCTTTTGCTTCTTTTATAGAGATAAATAAAATAGTCGTTGGGAAGACTTTGACCAAAAGGTTGAACTATCTTTGTACTTGATTAGACACATCAATAAAGCACCTTTCTGCAAGAGGAATTATCCGTCGAAGCTTAGGCACCAAAGAAGAGATTTTCCTTAAGTCTTCACGAGATCAAAAAGTCTTTGAGTCTATCAGAGTTTCCTTGGTAGAAGAGCTTTTGCTTTAGAGGTTGACTTTCCTTCATACTACACTCTTCAGAGGATGATCACATTAGAGTCCACTTCTTGACTTCTGAAGCTTCAGAGTATGGGTCACAAGAGACTTGAATTTATTCATAGTTGAATTCTTCAGAGTCTGTATCTCCATTAGAGGCAGAGTCTTCAGAATCAAAGTTTGATTTTCATATGCATATTCCTCAAGCAGCTCTTCATTTGTTCTTAAATATATTCATGTAAACTTGAACAAATGTTAGATAGCCCAATTGTTCTTTAAATACTTTGTTATCATAAAAACTCAAGGGATATGGTATAACCAATTTTGTTTCAACAAAAAAAAGATCTAAGATCCCTAGGAAGGGCCAGCGACGCCCCTAACTAGCTAAATATCATATATCAGATGCTAAAATAGAGGCTACAAGTGATGAACAATGAGAAGTTATCTCAAGCCTATCCTCACAAAGAATACAGGAGACAACCTCTTGGTCAACAATGACCTTCCTTTTAAATAGATTTTGTCCGGAAGAAAATCTATACAATTAAAAGTGCCAGGAGAAGACAACCAACTTAAAGAGAGCCCAACTCTACCAAATAAGAGGTCAAGATTGAAACTCTCTATCTATAGATGACTCACAAAGCTGACCCATATTAGATAGGATATATGTAAAGTATTGTTTACATGTTAAAATGCTCTCTAAGTGTTAAATGTGATTAAATCATTAGATAACTACATGTGAATAATTTGTCTAGAAAGAGAAAAAAAACTACATGTGAATAATCGTTATGCGACTAAGCAATAATGTTAATATACCCCTAATTGTATTATAATTTATATGTTAATTGTGTATTAATATTTTATTAAATGCTAATATTTGCAAAATGTGCATTGTATTGATATGTATTTATTAGTCTCTAATTGTCTAAATATGCAAATGTCTAAAATTTTAAATTTCCACATCTAAACATTAAAAAATCTTGCAGATGAGATGGTACGTGTTAAATATTATAGATGTTTTACTTCTCCTGTCCTAAAATAAATATAGTATTTACAAAAATTATTTGTTCTAAAATAAATGTTACTTTAAATTTTAAATGAAATTTTATTTTTATCTTTAATTGTGTCCTTTAATTAATTTTTTTAATTTATTATCTTTCTCACTTCTAATAATGATAATTAGAATCGAATAACAACAATTTTATTAACAAAGAAGATTTCATTTCATCAATTTAGTACTACTATTAATCTAGTTAAATACTGATTTTTTTAATCAAGTAATTTTAATTAAACTATTTCACTTTAAGTGATTTTAATTAAACAATTTTACATTGAATCATTAATTTTTTTTGTATTAGAATATAAAATATTCATTGTATCAATTATTTATCATCTTTTATATTTAGTTATGCATATACTTAATATTGATACATATTTATTAGCATTAGTTACGCATTGCTCGACATTCATTATTATGTAATAAAACATGATAGACAGAATTCTATTATGCATTCGAGTTAGTTAAGTTTTATATTTATTATTCTTTATCACAAACTTACAAAAGAAAAAGCTTACAACACAACCATGCATACAATATTATTATATAATAAGTAAATAGAATATGCTATTTACCACACAACAATGCATACAATACTATTACATAATAAGTAAATAGAACAAGATTATTGGTGATACTAATAGTAGTTTTAGATTTTCAGAGTTGTCTCCTCTAAAAATTCCTTAACTATCTCAAGGCTTGGTTTAACCACTATTTCCTTATGCAAATGTTGATAATCTTCTCCTTTTAAAATAGCTTTAAAAACTTTTGTAGAATCAATTTTGTGCATCTTCCACCCAAGCTTATTAACCATTTCTTCAATTTTCAAGAGTTGATTTTCCGCCAATTTGCAAGTGTTTTCTTTTGTTTTTGAAATAGCTTTCTTGAGTATCTTTTCTTTATCACCCTCATCAATACCTTTATTATTTTCTATCTCGAAATAACGTTGAAGTTCAGGAACACCGATCGCCCTTCTAATCCCTCTTGTGCAATTTGCTCCGGGGACAAAATATTCTCTAATTTCATCAACAAGACCTGCCTCGACCATTTCGTTAACTCTTTTGTCTAAATAAGGAAACAAAATAGACAAAGATACATTCACCCAGATGAAACAACAATCATATTTTGAACGAAATGCGTAAATTGGATCATCAACTAGTGTTTGTATGTAAGAATTTGATCCACCTACAATAATAGGTAAATGTCCATTTTCAACAATGATATCTAGAGTTTCAAGCATTTTCTTGCAAAAGTCGGTCACCGAAAAATCACAATTTGGATCATCAATAAAGCCTAACATGTGATGTGGAATCGAACATTGTTCGGATTTTGGTAACTTATTGGTGACAATGTCAAGACCCTTATAGACTTGAATTTTGTCTGAGTTAACGATTTCAGAAGGAAATTGAGTACCTATTTTAATAGAAAGGTTAGTTTTTCCAGTCCCAGTTGCACCCATTATAAACAAAACCTTTTTCTTCTCTAACATAGATGAGAAACTGAGAGCCATAATTGTGTTTTTGAGGTTTTTGATGTAAAATCAGAAAGAAAGCACAAGAATCACAAAACTAAATATAATTAAAATGAGTAAATTAAAAATTTGATCTTGAATTCAAATATTATATAAAAAAATTTGGAATGAAATGCATTAATCAAAACTGTTGTCTTAATAAAGATGTGAGTTGGATTGATACTGAACTAACAGAATGAAAACTCCTTTGTAACAAATTTTTTGTTTTGTGTGATGGATTAGGTGTTCAACCATGCTATATATAATACCTTAGACGAAACAAATCAAAATAATGTAATATAAGAAAATAATTATTAGTTTTTACTAAATTAATAATATAACATAATTTAAAACATATTAAATATATCTTTTGGGATAGACTAGGAAAAATATAGAAATCCACTATTATGTAAAAAATACTTATTTATTTGGTTAAAAGAAGTTAATAAAACTATTTTACAAATGAGTGGTTTGACACCCTAAATGTCAAATATATCCAAATATGGTAATAGTTCAATACAATTGAAACTATTGTTAAAATATCAAAATAATTAATTTTGGATATCACATATTTCTCATAGTTAAATAGATACGTTAAACTTGATTTTAAAGCCAATTTTTTTTTTTAAACAATGATTTTACAATATAGCTTAATTTGAAATTGTAAAAATTATAAGTAACATTTTCTCTTCTGATATCATAAACCCTGATTTTTAGGTAACAAGCACACAAAAACAATTTTAGAGTTAATTAACAAAAAAATCATGAAAAGTATATATATATATATATATATATATATATATATATATATATATATATATATATATATATATATATATATATATATATATATATATATATATATATATATATATATATATATATATATATATATATATATATATATATATATATATATATATATATATATATATATATATATATATATATATATATATATATATATATATATATATATATATATATATATATATATATATATATATATATATATATATATATATATATAAATTAATGTTAGAATTTTATTTTTGGGTCATACATGTAATAAATTAATGTGTTGGAATCATTATTTAATTAGTCAAATTAAAGTTATCTATTTAATATAAGGTTTATGACTTTGGATATAATTGTCATGAAAAATATTGTATAGATACCAAAAGTCTTAATTCTATTTTTTGATGGGTAAAATTGGAATAAGAAAATTTGAATAACCATGACCGTTCATTAAAGCGCATGAGATTATTATAAATAAAGGGTTATGGTCCCCAATTATAGACACTAAAAAATATTACAAAATATTTATTCTCTTTATCCCATTGAAAGAAAAACTAAGGAATTAAAAAAATCTACAATTGGAAGGTCATTACTCTATCAAGATCCGCATCTTCTCATTGAAATTACATGGATCCTAAAGGTACGCTTCCGCATTCTATTTCATCTTGAATTAAGTATGAATTAATATATGTTAATTAGTAGAATTCCAAAAAGTGGTATCAGACCTACTCATACTTGATTCATGTGTGAATTTTGATAATTATTAAAATTAGAATTTCAAAATAGAATTTCACTATACAAAATCAAACAATTGGTTTTGGTTGAAATTATTAATTAGTTTTCTATTGTGTTTTTGTTATGATTGAAATTGATTAATCATATCATTTTATTTTTCGTTCATACATAAAGAACCTATGCATATGAAACACATATATAGTTTAATGTTACTACAGACACAGGTAGTACGGGCCATTTGTACTGTTTCGCGTAATATCAATTTGTATCGTTTCACGTAATTATTACAACGTTACAATACTTACATTTTTTTATTTCGTGCAAATTTGGTTGTTTTTTTTCTTCTTATAAACTAAAGAGACACTGGGTATGTTGTGTTGGATTGTACGGCGTCCCTCAAATTTTGTCCATTGAATTTAGTATTTTTTTATGTTCAAAATATTGGTTATGATTTGTATTTTATATAATAATTTGACATTTTAAATGATCCTATTGAGACTAGAAATCACCAAAGTGGCCCTTCTTTTATGAATTTGATGATGAAAAATGTTGAATGTTAGTGTGTATGTTTATACATGTGAGTATTAATTTTTCCAAAGAAAATGTTAATATTTGACAAATTTTATATATACACGTGTGATGATAAATATGTGATAATTATAAAGTTTTAGATGTGAAAAATAAATCAATCCAAAGCTAGTTTTATTATTTGAGATACATGATTGTATCATTACAACAAGAGTATCACTAACAATTAATACTATTGTCCAACGACATATATATTAATGTTGCACTAGATATCTTGAAATTAATTATGACAATATTTAAACATATATTATTTGAGTTGATTTATAATTGATTATGTGAGCATATTTATATTATTATATTTTATTTTATTTACATTTAATATTGATACTATATCTACTAACATGAATTCAGTTCCGGTTCTTAATGGTGCAAACTTTAAGGACGGAAAGGAGAACATTTTAATTGTTCTTGGTTGCACGGATCTTGACCTTGCATTAAGGATAGAGTAACCCCTTTCTCCTACAGACTCCACTACCCTTGAGGAAAGGAAAAATTATGAGAAGTGGGACCGCTTCAATCGCCTGAGTCTTATGATCATAAAGCGCGACATTCCAGAGGCATTTAGGGGTACTATATCTGAAGAAATAACAAATTCCAAAGACTTTCTTGCTAAAATTGAAAAGCGATTTGCTAAAAGTGATAAGGTGGAAACAAGCACACTCATTTAAAACTTGATTTTTATAAAGTACACAGGAAAAGGAAATATAAGAGAGTATATTATGGAAATGTCTAACATTGCTTCCAAACTTAAGACACTAAAACTTGAGTTGTCGAATGATTTACTCGTGCATTTGGTGTTAATATCTCTTCCTGCACAATTTGGTCAATTTAAGATAAGCTATAGTTGTCAAAAGGAGAAGTGGTCTCTTAACGAGCTCAATTCATATTGTGTGCAAGAAGAAGAAAACATGAACGAAGATAGGACAAAGAGTGTTCACTTGGCAAGCACCTCTAAAAGTAAGGGAAAAAGGAAGAAATATAAGGATGTAAAGAATGAAGCTGCTAAGAGTTTGATACCAAAGAAGTAAAATAAGGGCGATGATTGTTTCTTTTGTAAAATGACTGGACATGCAAAGAAGGAATGTGCCAAGTATCATGCATGGCGTGAAAAGAAAGGTATGTTTCTTACTTTGGTATGTTCTGAGGTAAATTTAGCTTCAGTACCAAGAAACATATGGTGGTTAGACTCTGATGCTAATACTAACATTAGTATTTCAATGTAGGGTTGCCTGAGTTACCAAAATTCAAATGATGTTGAAAGATGCATATATGTGGGAGATGGAAAGCCGATAGAAGTAGAGGAAATAGGGTATTTTAGGTTGTTATTAAGTACTGGTTATCATTTGAATTTAATGAATACTTTTATTGTACCATCATTTAGATGAAATTTAATTTTTGTTTCTTCATTGGACAAATTTGGTTACCATTGTTCATTTGGAAATAATAAATTTAGTTTATCTATTAATTCAAATTTTGTTGGATATGGTACTCTTATGGCATATGATAATCTATATTTACTTGATACTTATGCTTCTTACAATGAAACCTTGAATATAGATCACGTGGTACTAAGCGTAAAATCAAAAACACAAATTTAGGAGCACTGTGGCAGAAGCGTCTAGGTCACATCTCTAAAAATAGAGTAAAGCGACTTGTGTCTAATGGGATCCTAGATTCCATTGAATTCACGAACTTTAATATTTTTGTTGAGTGCATTAAAGGAAAATAGACGAAAATCAAGAAGTTAGGTGTACATAGAGCTACAAATGTCTTAGAATTGATACATACAGACATTTGTGGGCCATTTCCGACATCGTCGTGGAATGGCCAACAATACTTTATATCATTCATATATGATTAATCAAGATATACATACTTATTTCTTATACATGAAAAGTCTCAGCCATTGGACATTTTTAAATCATTTAAAGTTGATATTGAGAATTAACTCAACAAAAGAATTAAGTGTGTCAGATCTAACCATGATGGTGAATACTATGGTAGATATGATGGTTCAGGTGAACAACGCCCTGGTCCATTTGCCAAGTACCTAGAAGAGTATGGGATCGTCCCACAGTACACCATGCCAGGTTCACCTAGCATGAATGGTGTACCTGAAAAATGAAACTGAACTCTTAAGAATATGGTAAGAAGCATGATATTCTACTTTACCATAGTCACTTTGGGGAGAGGCACTAAAGACTACAACTTACATTCTGAATAGAGTACCAACTAAAGCAGCTGCCAAAACACCTTATGAACTTTGGACAGACAAAATGCCTAGTCTAAATCACTTTCATATATGGGGATGTTCGACCGAGGCCAGACCTTATAGGACGAATGAAAAGAAATTATATCCCCAAATAGTGAGCAGCTACTTCATTGGTTATTTTGAACAATCTAGGGACTATAAGTTCTATGATCCCAAATTAAAGATAATTTGTGAGACGAGAGCTGCCACATTTTTTGAGGACATTGAGTTTGGGGGAGAAATAAGGTTAAAGACTTTGATTTTGAAGAAGAACCAATTTCAATTCCAAGACCGATTGATTCATTTGCCTCTGACAAAGAAAATTCAAAACCAATTGATTCATTTGCCTCTGACAAAGAAAATTAAAAATATCTTCAAAACATTGTCATTCAAACTCCCATTTAAGATGAATCCATTGACACTGAAGAAAAAGATCCTCAAGAACCACCACCTCAAAAACCAGTGCTTCAAGAACTGAAACTCTGATATGCAGATCTCAGATGTCCTAGACATTGATCTCTGCTTAACCATAACAAGGACAGGGCACGGGCATTTTGATTTACTTTAAGAATTAACAGTGTCATGACATGTGTTGTAACATCTCAGACTGACAGAATAATTTATCTAG